CCTTTCTCCCTCCCATCTTTCTAACCTTTTCCCCTTCCTTATATTTTCTCCCATCTCGTCCAAACATAACCGCGCAAACAACTCTCCCCCTTCCCCCTTCAATCTCTCCTCAAATGCCCACGCTCTTTTTCCCGCCCTACCTCTTAACTTTTCCCTTTGTATTTCCTCCCTCATCATATAACCTGGTGTTCTTCCCTCCACCCCTAACACCCACCTTAAATACCTATCCTGTAATCTCTCCACCACCTCTCTCTCTTTCTATCCCCATATTTCCACCCCATAACTAATCATCGCCCCATTAACACATCAAACAGCCATATCCTCTTCTTCCAATCCTTACCAAATCTCCTTTTCCCGATCCCCCATACTTGACCCATCACTGCCGCCGCTTCCGCCACCCTTTCTTTTACATGCTAGTCCTGTCCCCCATTCCTCTGCAACGTATATCCTAAATAATTGAATTTATTTACCTCTTCGATCCTCTTTCCCTTCCATCTCTAGTCCATCTTACTGCTTCTACCTCCTCCTTTCCTACAAATCTCATTATTTTAGTTTTTTCCCTATTCAATTCCAAACCTTTTCTTTCTATATACCCTTCCAACCTTTTCAACATACTTCTCATACTCCCCTCATCTTCCGCCAACAACACCACATCATCCGCATACGCCAAACTATGTACCTTCCCATCTCCTAACTTCACTCCCCCCCATTTAACCCTTCCCATCTCTTCTTCTAGGTCCGTCAGAGGTGATCCCGATTGACCACGGCTCGATTGGACACCACCAATCATAGCGACCGGTGCTTAGGAGCTTTGTAGTCTCAAGCACTGTGAGTGGCTCGTGTCCAATTGAGCCGTGTCCAACTGGGTACCATCCGGTCCATCATCACTAAATTAAACAGCAGAGGACCAGCGGACACCCCTGTCTTACCCCCCTCGCCGCCCAGAAACTTTCCCCTACTTCTCCCCCTCCCACTCTCACCCTACTTTTCATTTCTCTCAAAATCTCATCCACTCTTTCCACCAGCCCTTCCCTTACCCTCCTCAGCCTTAACGCTTCCACCAATACTCTTCTATCCACCGAATCAAACGCCGCTTTCCACAAATAAGGCCACTAATTTTTCCTCTTTTTTCCTTACCTGTCTGTTTATTAAGTAATTCAACACGAAAACATTATCCAATGTCCCCACCCCCTTTCTGAAGCCCGTTTGGTTCGATGGAATCAACCCCTTCCCTTTCACCTCCTCTCTTAACATTTCCGACAATGCCGTCGTATATATTTTATACATAGTCGACACTATCGACACCTCCCTGTAGTCCCTTACCTCCTCTCCCTGCCCTTTCTTCCTTACCGGCACCACCACCCCCTCCTTCCATTCCTCCGGCCATCCTTCCCCTTTCCATACCTAATTACATTCCCTCCATACCCATTCCTCCATACCCTTCCCCCCATACTTCCATACCTCGTTTGGAATCCCATTCACCCCCACTGCCTTCCCATCATTTAAATTCCTAATCACCCTTCTAATTTCCTCCCTACTCAAATCCATTTCTGTCCCTCGTTTTCTCCTTTTCCCTTCATCCCTTACCACTCTCCCTTCCACCCTCTCAATAATTCTTTAAAATATTCCTCCCACTCCCTCATCTTTATCCCCTTATTTATTCCCTTCCACTTCTTCCTTTCCCTATTTACTATTTCCCATACCTGTCCCTCATTCTTCGCTCTCTCCACTTTTCTTTCCCACCTCTCATTCTCCTCTTTTTTCTTGTTCCCACATAGCTCCTCATACTCCCTTTTTTGTTTCCTGTACTCCTCCCCTCCCCCCTTACCCTTCCTCCATTCCCTTAATACCTTTCTCACCTCAATCTTCTTTTCTTTACACTCTCCATCCCACCATCCCCTTCCCGTCCTTTCTTTCCCTCTCTCCTTTTCTATGCTTCTCAATATCTCCCTTATTCTCTCTCCCATTTCCTTCATCCTCTCATTGCCATCCCCCTCCCTCCATTCTACCTCCCTACACTCTCTCTAAATATCTCCCTACCTCCCTCATCCCATATTCCCCTACATGCCTCTCTCCCCTCCCCACCCTTTCCTCTCTTCCTGCCTCTTCCTCCCCTCAGTGATACTACCAACGGATGATGATCCGAATCTATTTCCTCCTCAATTTCCATACTGTCTATACCCTCTCTCGTCTCCTCATCCACCAATACGTAGTCAATCACTGAGTCCACCCTTCCCTCTGTATATGTCCAATTCCCTTTCTCATCCCTTTGCACATTTCCATTTAAAATCGGCCACCCCTTCTCTCTTATAACTTCTACTAGCTTGTTTCCTTTCTTGTTCTTCTTATTATCCATTGAATTTTTTTCTTCTTCCTCCCCGCCCTCATTCTCTTCCCTTATTCTTCCTCCCTTTCTCCCTGTTCTCGCATTAAAATCCCCCCCAATCACTGTTTTTATCCCTTCCTCTTTACTCTCCATCCATTCCTTTATATTCTCCAGCTTACTTTCTAAATCCATATTAACATACACTCCCACTATCCTTAACCTGTTCTCACCTACGCTCATCATTCCCGCCATCATCCGCTCTACTTCTTTCTTTCCCTCCACCCCCTCATAACAATCCCTTTTAATATCCATCAACATTTCCCCCATTGCCCTTCCTTTTTTATTTCTCTTTTTCACCGCCTGCATTCTCCACACATAACCCTTCGGCAATCTCTCTTTTATATGTTTCCATCCCTTCTCCTCTACCCATATTTCTATTAGTACCATGGCATCTTTCCAACCTAGCCAAAAATCCCTATCCTTATTTCCCAACCCTGCCACGTTCCAAAATGCTATCTTCCTTTCTTTTCTTTCCCCCCCTTTGTTCCTCTTTTCCTCTCTCCTATCCTTCTTTACCCTTATTCCTCTGCTCCTTAATTCCCTTCCTCCCTCTTCTCTTTCCTTTCCTCTGCCCCCCTCTTTATTCACTCTCCCCTCCTTCCTACCCCCCTCCTTATCTCCCTTAACCTCCTTAACCCACTTATCCCCCCTCCCTATTCCCCCTGCCTCTGCCTGTCCTTCCTTGCTCTTT